ATTTTTTAGCAGGACTATGCAGAAAAGTCATTCTCTAGGCCATAAATATTGATTTACCAGCAAACAAAAGGGATAAAATACTAATATGACCTTTCAAAACGATGCTGCCATCGAGGTGGTATTCCAAGTGCACGACATCCGGCATTTCCTTCACCATATCCAAAACATTTCTGAATCCCAGTAACCTGAGGGGCATGGGGAAGCCCAGCATGGTGTGGTAGTCTTTCTTGAGCTGCTCAGGGGTCAAACCACGCTTAGCAGAGACCAGAAGAGAGCGGACATCCTTCTTCAAACCCGTGAGGAGCTGATCTTGGGTCATCCTGACAGCTAAAAACACAAGTGGGACACAATTTACTTACTTGATAGCCGACAAAAACATGACAGTTTAAATGTAAATGTTATTCCACCATGATGTCAACACCTTAAACATAATTGTTTTATTGACAATACTGGATTAACGCAAAATGGCGCTTACACACTTAACAACCGGCTTTAAACGTTTATATCTTTGCATTCACATTATTAATGTGTTTTATGGACGAGAGATTACCTTATGTACAAGATGAACGCGTTCTGTCGTTCCGTGGAGATCACGCGAGAGGCCACGTTTTTATAAAATGGGAATTTTGCATCACAGGTGCGCGAGCGCGATTACGTCGATGGAAAGAGCGTCAAAATATCCTCCGAGATTGATTTTTTAAAACAGGAGTGTATGCAGAAGTGCAGATGAAAGTGTGTTTTTCTTTAGGGTCTGTGTGTGTGGGCAGAGCCAGCAAACTTCCTGAGACACGTGCTTCATCAGCATTCAATCAAGCTCCTCGTGCTGACGCTGCACTTTATGACTTTCACAATGTTTTCTGATGTATACTTTTACTTTTTTCACATGCTTTAAAAAAAAAAAAAGTATAATTTTCCATTTTTTTTAAATAAATGAAATAAAACGAATACAAATATATGCTACAAAACTACAAGGCCTAGCCTAAATGTGTAAGTGTCAAAAACATTTTTACATAGGCTACATGCATTGTTCAGTTTATTATGGAAAAAAAACAATAGCCTACTAAACATGATCAAATTTGGTGATTTATATTTGAATATAAAGGTTTGTGCAACACAAAAACAAACAAACAAAAAATTGTCAGACACATCAACAAAAACTGATACATTTAGCCAGATTTATGTTTATTTAAGAAAGTCTTGTTTTGTATACATTTATAGTTTTTTAATTGTTTATTGTTTAATTTATTTTCTTGTTTCATAGTTTTAATCAAAAATGTAATTCGAAATCTATCTATCTATCTATCTGTCTATCAAGATAATAAACATGACCTTGGCATTAAACAAAGGTCTTAAAACAGAAAACAGAACATTAAAAATCTTTATCTTTCTTATTACTAAACTTAATAACACTGTATATAAATGGTGTTTCACAAAACATTTTGCTTTGCTTTTTTATTAAATGATATAATTTGCCATTTACAACACTAGGCGAAGGTGAATGTTAAATAACTTTGTTACAAACATGACATTTTTCCCAGATTTACCCAAATAACCATTTTCTAAAAATGTTGTTCTATTCAATTATATTTATTATATATTTACTAAAAGAATAAACAGATAGATAGATAGATAATAGATAGATAGATAGATAGTTGTTCAATCTAAATTCAAATCATTATTATGAATTAACATATAGAGGACATTCAGAGAACATGCAAATTAGATTTTTGGTAACATTATTTTCCATTCAGTACCTCTGTGTAGGATATTACCGCTGTGAAACATTCATTAGAAGAGTGCAAACACTCCCCTGTCATCATATGAACCTGCAGAGGCCTACAGAGATACTCCCTGTTCAGACCCACAGACGTCCACAGGAGCAGACCAGACACCAGATGAACCCTCACAACAGATGCTTCTTATGAGGGAGGCCGTGATGGAGAAAAGAACAGAAACATCTACGCGTTCTTCAAGATCTGGACGGGTAAAGCGAGAGCCATCGCCTTCTGCTAAAGAGAGGAAAACCAAAGCCCCCAAATCCATGAAGCTCCAGGAGCCCCACAAAAGAAAAGTAAAAACAGAAGTGACAGAAGAGGAAGAAGAAAGAGGTGAAGCCAAAGAGGCTCAAATCATCTCCAGCAGCACTGTTGTAAATGTAGACAGTGTGAGGGAACGAATAAAAGTAGATCGAGAGGAGTTATTGGGATTATTGGAGACTGAAGGGCCTGGAGAAGGTAAGTGTGGAGAAGAAAACATCTCAGAAAAGATGGAGAACCTATAGTAGGCTATATTGTTCTGTCTTAAATTTTCTCTAAAGCCTTGAAGAAGAGATACCTTGGAATTTGTGAGCTGCTTCTCATCGTTTTGGTCCTGTCTGTGGTGATCTTCTTCTTTCCTATTTCCATATGGTTCTGTGTGAAGGTATGCTTTCAATTTATGGGATTAAATATTAAAAACGAATATGTATTTGGTAACTCTGTTCAGGTCCCGTAACTTTAATTTATTTGTATAAAATTGTTTATATGTAGATTGTGAGAGAACATGAGAGAGCCGTGAAATTTCGATTGGGGCATTTACTGCAGAAGAGTCCAAGGGGCCCTGGTACATTTTAATTGACATATTAACACTTTTACAGTTAGCAAGGTTCTAGTTATTATTTTATGTGAAGAATATACAGTTTTTAATAATAATTGATTATTAAATGCATTTCATTTTAAATATATTTTTACTATTTGATTGTTTATATTTATATTTTAATATAAAATGTTAATCTAACTTAATGTTACATTAAAAATGTAAAGCTAATATAATTTTTAATTAATATATGAATTAATTTAATTTAAGTATGTTAATATTAAGAAGAAATCATTTTGACATTTTAATAATTTATGTATGTGGACTTTAATACATACGTTTTATTTTGCTGCAGGGCTGATGTTTTATCTCCCATTTTTGGATGTGTGCCATATTGTCGACATTCGTCTGAAAATACTGAAGATCCTTCCTCACACGGTAATTTCTTTGCTTTCAAAGTAACAAAAAAGCCTCCATATTTTCTGCACATCGACTTCAATCAGGTTAGACGCCATACTGAATGTAACGTGGATGAAAACGAGTATGTAAGGGACGATTGAAAGTCTTTACAATGGAACGCACTGTATGAAGGTCCAAAATCATGTATTTTCACAACTCACAAACAGTTTTATTGAGTTTTTGTCTACTGAAAGTTTTTTCGGAAAGATGTTTTGTCTGCTAAACAATCGATATGCTGCAATCCATAGCACTGTCCTTCTATCGCTCACAGCATCCCTTTCATTCCTGTAAAAATTTAATTACTACTGACTAAGGTCTTTGTATGGGCAGCATTGTATTTTCTGAGATGACCTTTGAGTCATTTAATGAAGTGCACTGTAAAAAGCTGACTGCGACAAACACCATCTCACTTACACACGTATGTAAACATAAGGGTGGCAACTGGTCAAAGACTAGCCCAATCAAAACATCCACCCTTAGGTCTCTAGATATGGCTTGGATCTTTCAATGCAAGTAAAAATTGTTTTTTTTTTTTCACCCATTTTATCAACTGCTGAGAAAATTGCAAGTCTAAAAAATGATAAAACACCTCTCCAACAAGCCATATAATTCCATGTTGGCAACTGGTCAAAGACTAGCCCAATCAAAACATCCACCCTTAGGTCTCTAGATATGGCTTGGATCTTTCAATGCAAGTAAAAATTTTTTTTTTTTTTCACCCATTTTATCAACTGCTGAGAAAATTGCAAGTCTAAAAAATGATAAAACACCTCTCCAACAAGCCATATAATTCCATGTCATTGTATCCTTAGGTGGTGACCAAAGATCTGGTGTGTACCGAAGTGAGCGCGGTGTGTTACTATCGTATCGAGAATGTGTCTGTGTGTTATTCCTCCCTCGCCAGCGTCCCAGATGTGCTGCAGGCTCTGACCCAGGTCTCTGTTAGAGAGATACTGGCCCATCATGCCTTCACTAACATTTTGCTGGACCGCAAACGGATGGCTCAGGAGATTCAGGTAGACGTCAACAGATATGACACCTCATGAGGGCTTGAAACAAGACGTCTACTAAGTTTTCATTTGTTGGGCAGGTCAGCTTAGATTCAGTAACCTGCAGGTGGGGTATCAAAGTGGAAAGAGCAGAAATGTAAGTGCATAGAACAGATTAGACTCCAAAAGTCGTCACATTACGGCACTCATTACATACTGTATGTCCACTGTTGCAGAGAAGAAATTAGTCTTCCACCTGAACTGCAACACAACTTCGCTGTGGAGGCCGAAGCGAGACGTCAGGCACAAGTCAAAGTAAGGCCATCTGTACAAAATGGGATTTGAACCCACAACCTTTCAGTTTCCAAACCAGCTTTTTAACCACTATGCTTTGCACAGGTGATCTCTGCAGAGGGAGAAAAGGCAGCTTGTGAGGCTTTGAAGGCCTCTTTAGAGTCTCTCTCTGGTTCTCCACTGGTCGTGCACCTTCGACTCCTGCAGCTCCTCAACAATCTGCGCTCTGAGCAGCCTGCTGTGGTCCTCAACATACCTTCTGATGTCCTGACTCAATCCATCAACCTCACCAGTTTGACCAGACCTGCCAATCAAGATCTGACCGCAGGTGATGGCTCAGATGATGCAAACAAAGATTCGCCCATGATGTAAAGACAGCATGGCTATCAATGTTTACTTAGGAAGAACAGTTTCATATGACTAATTTTACATAGACAGTTTACGATACAATATTTACCTTTGCACCATCTAACTCTCACTTTAACTTCATCTTTAAAAACACTAATAATTTACACTGTTAAAGCTGCAGTCCGTAACTTTTGGCGCTCTAGCGGTGAATAAACAGAACTGCATGCATCTTGCGGAAGAACATTGTAGCCGGAGCTACTTCTCTCTGTTTGGCTACTCTGCAGTATTCATTTTATGGTATGTGCAATGCAAGTACACTTCAAATACAGATGTGTCTATACTTTATTATTTTGCCCCACATGAGCTCCAGTATGGTGTTTATTCCCATTTAGTGTTTTTTGGTGCCTCTGGACAGTTTTGGGCTGGCTTCAGGTTTCTGACTTCTCGTTTTAGCTTCAGAAGGGGTGCTGGGGGCCTTGTGTGCAGGTGCAATGTTCTTCTTGCTCGCTGTAAAAAGTAAATATAATCAGAGATTAGAAACAGGTCAGTTCATACTGTATTTACATAATAAAAAAATTTCACAACAGGTTCAAGTTGAATTTGCCAAGTTGACCAACAAAAAGCTGCTGGGTTTGAAAGTGACTTGTATGAGTGGTGCTTCATACAAGTCATTCACTACTTCATACAAGTATTGTCATTCACTACTGACAATACACAACAGACAATAGACCTTACTGCCTGCAAAATTTTGAAAAAAAAAATGTGGCTAATGTGACCACACCTTTAATCTTATTCTGTATCTGAAGTGTAATGTTAGCCTCTGACACACTTACACTTGGTCTCCACACTGGGCCGAGCCTGTAGCTGCCTCTCCAGATCTTGTATCTTGTCCAGAGCTACCTGTAGGTCTTCCTCTGCCTTTAGCGCTCGTACCTCTGCGCTGATAGCTCGCGTCTCTACATCCCTGGACAATACAGCTTATATAGAGACCACTACAGATCTGATTAAAGGATTAGTTTACTTCCAGAATAAAAAAAATCCTGATAATTTACTCACCCCCATGTCATCCAAGATGTTCATGGCTTTCTTTCTTCATTCGAAAAGAAATTAAGATTTTTGAGGAAAACATTCCAGGATTTTTCTCCGTATAGTGGACTTCAACAGGGACCAACAGGTTCAAGGTCCAAATTGCAGTTTCATTGCAGCTTCAAAGGGCTCTACTCACGATCCCAGCCGAAGAATAAAGGTCTAGCGAAATGATTGGTCATTTTCTAAAAGGGTCTCATTCGCTAGATGAGACCCTTATTCCTCGGCTGGGATTGTGTAAAGCCCTTTCAAGACCTTCAACCTGTTGGTCCCTGGTGAAGTCCACTATATGGAGAAAAATCGTGGAATGTTTTCCTCAAAAACCTTAATTTTTCTTTTCAACTGAAGAAAGAAAGACATGAACATCTTGGATGACATGTGGGTGAGTAAACTTACAGAAGTACTTACAGAAGCTCTTGCTGAAGAGTTCTCACTGTTTCTAATGCATTGAAGGCTTCCTTGGCATTTTCAGTGTGAGGGGATACCACAAGTTCTTCAGTCTGGAAAATAATAAGAAAAGGTTTATGCTTTACACTCTGTAGATGGGAAGCTGATGGAGATGGTTTCGGCCAACTCACCCCTGTAAGTTGGACGGTGTCCACTCCTAAGTTCTTCTCAGTGATATTGCCATCATAACCAATTAGCTTCATGACTGAGCCATCTTTGTCATGTCTGCTGGCCTTTTCTTCCCCCTTGAGGAAGATTTGGTTTATTTATTTGGTGTTAATCTATGTAACCAAACTAGCTATATGGCTAGCAAGCTAATAGCTTATATGGAAAAAAAAGTGTTAGTTACATATTCATCAGCACTTTGGAAAGAATAAGGCCCAGTGGTGTCTTTTATGGTCAAGGGTTCCTCTTCATCTTCTTTGGTAGGTTCCTCTGGTTGTTGCTCGAGCTAAGAAGATATACAAGAAAGTTACTCACATTCTGTACTAGCATAGCTGTATTCTACCAGAGAGCCTATGCTGATGTCGCTCACAGGCTGTGGCGAAGTTTTTTCAGACAGCTGCAGGTCCACAGGGCTTCCCTTCACATCTGCCAGTAGTATTCGACAGGCCTCCACCCACTCGCCACACTTTTTCTGAACAAACACAATCCATGGCATTATAGGCGAGAAGTGAATTTAAAAGAGTAAACCTTGGTTGAGAAGATCAGAGGGATTGTAAAGCACCTGAAGTTTAGCAAGTTGGTAGAGCTCATTCTCTGTGTCATCCTGAGTTGAGCTCTTCCGGATTGCCTCCTCCACAATAGCCTGACAAGAGCTGCAGAACAATTTGTGTAAAGAATTTATTCCTAACTATAAGCAGCTCAGGTATATCCTCTTGATGCATTGAGTTTAATGAGATCACCTTGTGATGTACTTGGAGAAGTAGTCAAGTTTCCCAGAGAGGTTCCTGGCATCCTCCTCCAGCTTCTCAACAGACACGTCCACAGTGGCGTTCAATTCAGGAGTTGGAAGATTCGGTTCTTGGACTGGCACCATCAGTAGCAGAAGGTCCACCATCCACCGAATCAACTTGGTGTGAAGAGAAGTTACCTGATAACACATAATGAGATCATCATTCATGGCTTGGACCTTGGGCATCCAGTCCTGGTCCAGGAAATCCACCTTCCTGCAGAGTTTAAGTCGAATCGTGGTTAAACATCCCTGAACCAGGTAATCCGAAAATGTCAAAATGTCCTGGTCTGCATTTCCGAAACGAATCGTAAGCATAAGTAGATCATAGAGACCACTGGTACTAATGGTTTCTACAATATACTTAGACTTACAATGCATTTGGTAAACGCAGCTGTCCTGCCCTAAGCCATGAGAGATGATAATCTTGTCTTGTCTACTCCAGGTCTGTTGGATCTAAACTCTGTAGAAGGGTGACCTCCAGGAACAGGAATGGACATCACTGACTTAGGGAATGCAAGAAATGTTATGCAGTCCTGGGGTGTACCTCCTCATGAAGCCTCATATTTTCACAGTTGAAAAAGTTTTCTTGAGAGAACCGGAATTCCTTCATTGCCTTTAAGACATCATCCATTTCAATCCTGTCACAAATACAAACAGGGAAATTGGACATGGTTTAACCAAAAACATGAATCAAGTCCTATTTGTTTTGTGTCTTTTGTAGCAAGTTTCTGCCCATTTTTCTGAGGGTCCATTTTGTTTAGGATACTACCTTAAAAGTCAGCCATCAATGTTAGCAGTAGACAAGGTGTCTCACTAGGTTTTGCAAGATAGCTATAATGTTTGATCCTTGCATCTGTCTTACTTGGTGTGGGGTTTCTTTTTAGCCCTGTCCCGTTCTGACTGTGTGCTGTTCACTAGTTGGAGAGTCTCCTTAGACAGATTCATCAAGTTGCCAAGAGTTTCCTCCAACTTGAGGCAATCACCCAAAGACTGCTCCTCTGGAAGTCCACTCAAGGACTTTAATCTTCTTGACCAGAACTCCATATTTTCAATAAGCAACATTAGTGTCGCATGGATCCCTGCAAAAAACAACCAAGAGCAGACGTCAATATCTATTGGAGAAACCAAACAAGACTATGTGAGGAACTAAAGAGTTTGGTTCTCACCACTTTCTCCACTAATACGGATTCTTAGTTGGTTCTGGAGCTCTGTAATGACCTTTGCCAGCTCCCTCATGGCCTCCTGGCCTTTAGGTGGCCCTCCATCTGAACCAGGGTGTCTCCTAAAGAGCTGGAGACAAACCTCAATCCAGGACTCTTGTAGGTTTGTTAGCATTTCCAGTGTTTCCTGACCAGACACTAGGTCCTCTCCTCCATATCGCTCACACTGCTGTGTCAACACCTGTCGGTGGACAGAGATAGCAATAATTTTTACATTTAAAGTGGAAAGTAGAAAGATAATTGAATAAGAAATAAAAAAAATGATTGCTAACCTTTGACCATTGCTTCAGGTCTTGGGACAGCTCATCTTGAGACTTGTCAACGTTCATATTAGGGTGCCTTATGAACCATATCAGAGCAAAGTTAATAAAGAAATAACAAAAATGCAAAGAAAAAAGTATTTCCTTTACTGACCTTGATTTGTCTTCATAAAACTTGTGCCACTTGACAACGTTAGCACGGACAGATTCGATAGTCTCGCGCTGTTTGCTTTCAGCCTCTCTGAGGTTCTCCATGAAGTTGGTCAGTTTATCTTTCCACTGGTCAGTCAATTCCATGATGTCAGAAACATCCTCAAAGTCCTGTGAATAAAAATAACATGGATATAACATTACTCTATGTCAAAGTCTCGACAGGATGAGATATTAGGTATTTTAAGTACCTTTGCTGTTAGGAAAACAGTGAAATGATCTGCAGTCTTGGCCCAGGTGTGCTCACTAATATGTAGCCATCTGACCAAATGAAGTTTATTTATCTTTATTATCTGAAAGAAATATGTGAGATATTTAGACTCAAATATTATAAATTCTTTCAAAATAAAAGTCAAAAGTGAATTGTCAAGCAGAATGCCACAAAGTCACCTTGACTGCAAGACTATAGGTGGCTTTTCTCCAGAGGTCCCTTTCTTCATATAGCTGAGACATCTGTCCTTCAAGTCTCCTTCGCTGCAGCTCATAAAGCTCATGGTACTCTGCTACAATACTGCAGAAAAGTCACTTTTATTTCAACCAGACTGATATAAAGTTACATTGAATCAGTGTGAGTCTGTATTAAACACTAGGGGCCAGATTTACTAACAGCTTGTGCCAGTGCAAACCGTCTTTAGTACTGTCAGGACTTACTAAAGACGTGCAGTGAAGAATTAGTGCTGAAAAGGCGTGGACAGTTATATTGGCGCTTGAACTTATTGAATATTCATTTGTAGGAGTTTCCCTTTCAGACACAAAATTTATGGGAGGAGAGTATTAAAATTAATCACGAAACGCGATTTACGCGTTTGCACTCGTCAAATTACTGGTATTTGCGCCATTATTTAACGCCCCAAAAAAGCATGTCTTAAACTATTTTGCATCTGTTTTATAAGTAGATCACCCGTACCTGATGAGCATCAGCTTTGCTTATTTCCGACTACGTAAATGTAAATGTGTATATTTATAAATAAATATATTTAAATATATGTAAATGAGATGTTGCGTCTGTGTTCTTTAATTTGAGCGTTATCAGTAAATCACCCGCAGAAATGTCCATGCCCATCGGAATTGCGCTCTCGCTCTAATTTGCCCTGTTTAGTAAATCTGGCCCTATGTTTAAGTATTATTACACACACTTTGCATTGCGTTGCGACTCCTCCAGGGCTTTAGCGAGCTCCTCTTTGACTTCCTCTGCCTCTTTGGACACATTCTCATCATGTTCTTTCATAGCACTCAGTTCCCTTTTACAGGTCAAATATACACAAGGTTAAAACGAACAGAAATCACACTCAGTTGACCATTTAGAAGTTGTATCCAGCTTACAAATTAAACTTTGCAATGGAGGTTTTGAAGTGAATGATCTCTTCAGTGAGCCGACGGTCTAGAGCCTTCTGCGCTAAGGTTTCTGTGTGCAGACCCTTCACCTGCCGTGGGATACGGTCAAGTAGAGCCACGTACCTCTCCCTGGACAAGTGGAAGAGGAAGTGAGATCACTCTCTAATGAAAACACAGAGGTAAAACTGTGATGCAGACCTGATCTTGGCGAGGAGTTGTCCTCTCTCGGCACATTCGACGCTGACCTGGCGGATTAGCTCGTGGAATACTATGTTGTAGATGTTCTGCTCGATTTGAACCAGCTCCAGTAAATTTTCAATCTGAAACATGATAAATGTTCTATAAAGATACACTTTTGTATCATTGTAAATCATTATATTTAGTCATAACTGTATAAATCATTATTGTTAACATACCAACCTACATAAATCTAAGTGATACCTAATATTTAATTACGGTATTTATTTTTATTTTTTTTACACTCAAAAACCCTTAAAAACTAACCTGCAAGAGTTTGATAGTGGCATTTTGGTGACTGTACAGTTTATTTTAGTTTTGTAAATGATCATTTTAAAGCATTATATTTAGTCATAATTGTGAAAATGATTATTGTAAATATACCAACCTATGAAAATCTGAATGATACTTTATTTATTGATTGATTGACTGATTGTGTTTTTTTTAACTAACCTGTGAGAGTTCGGTTAGCTCTTGAAACTCTTGATTGACACCTGCTTTTTCCAACATTTTGTCCATCACTTTCATTAACTGTACCACCTCAAGACGGCCGCTTGGTTTCCTAAAGGTTGTTTAGACAATATTATAAATATTACTATTAATATGAATCATTTTAAAGAAATTAGAAAGAAAGACAAAAAGAAAGAAAGTGGTTGTTTAGAAACTACAAATATTTATAATATTAATATTATTAATAATAATTTTAATAAATAAATTAGACATACATATGGCTTCCTAGTGGATGAATATGAATAAATGAATAAATATTTGGCTTCTTTGTGGTTGTTTCAAAATATAAATATTTATCATATTAATATTATTAATAATATTTTTTTTAACAACGAACTAATAGATAGATAGATAGATAGACAGACAGACAGATATACAGACAGATAGATAGACAGACAGATAGACAGATAGATATAGACAGACAGACAGATAGACAGATAGATAGATAGATAGATAGATAGATTATATATAGTAGACTACAACTCACATTGATGGAAAGACTCTTAGCTTCTGTTTGTCATCTTCTAGGAGAACTGTGAATTTGCTATAAAAGAAATGAAAACAAATAAAGCAACGTACTTGTTTAGCTGTAGAACAACAAGACAGATGTTCTTACTGACCAAGCAGACTGACTTACTCATCATAGCACTGCAGTCCCTTAAGGCCTTTGTTTTTTATGATGTGATATTCTTCCGGGATTAATGTTTCCAGTGAACTCACGTCCTTCAACCCAAAAAACAACAACACAAAGTTTCAACATACAGAAAGATACAAAGAACTTAGCACCAAATTCAGGTTATTCTCCTATCACTTGCATTTTGATCTCCCTGAGCGGGGCTTCGTTCAGCCATTGGTGGGAGAGGCAATCGAGCATCACAGAGGAAGGATATGTCTCTGTTCAGATTCAAACAAACACAGTGAGCTAGAAAATGTCTCAGTGTCTTGTATATAAATGTATAATGATTAATTCCAACCTTCCAGCTCCAGTCAGAGAGGTCGGCTGGTTGAGAAAGTATTGGTATTTCTTGCGTCTAGCTGGATGGTGCCACACTGCATCAGTGCGATGTATTAAACAAATCTGGGAGAAGAGGTAAAAAGAGATGATTTAGTTACTAGAAACAATTTGAAAAAGAAAAGGTGGCACAGACCTTGAAGTCTTTAGGAGTTTTGGTTAATCTGAGGGGTCCGAGTCTGTCTTGAGGACAGGTGGTGGATCTTAAAGTTGCAAGGAGCTCGTCTGGAATTAAATCATCATGCACTTGCAGGCTGCTTCGGTCTTTTACAGGTGTCCTCTCTCTCACCTGAGGAAGCTCTGCCACCACTAGACAGATGAATCACATAAATACATAGATAAGACACATTAAATAGACACAAAAATATTAAATATATTTTGTATATTTAAGATATAATACAAACTAAAATATGTGTGTGTGTGTGTAAAAAAGATGGTAATAAATAAATTAATAAATTAATATAAAAATAAAAACGGAAAAGTTTGTGAAGTGGCATAAATAAATATTTAACAAATTTTCAGAGGTATTCAATGAATGAATTAATTAAATAAAATAATGTAGTAAGTGATGTGGAATAATAAAACAAAATATTAAGATGAATTAAGAACAAAGTTGGTGATTAGGCATAAATAAACAAATAATAGAAGAAAGGCTTTGTGATGCGGCATATATAAATAAATGTTAAGAATAAAAAAACAAACTCGGTGATTGTGAATAAATAAATGGGCTATAAAGAATAACAAAGATTAAAGTTGGCGATATGAAAGAAAGAAAGGAAAAAAACAAAGGTGGTGATTTTTTAGCATGAAACAATAAAATAGAAAAAGTTTGTGATGTTACGAATAACGTAAAGTTGAATCAGTAGGCTATTAATAATAGAAAAGGTGCTAAACATTACTAATAACAAAGAATACTAGATGTTGAAATGGAACAAATAAATAAATATTAACAATAAAGTTGGTGATGTAGCTTTAAAAACTTCAGATTAACAAAGAAAATAAATGGAATAAATAAATATTAGCAATAAAGTTGCAGAAGAAAGTTGATGATGTAGCTTTAACAACTTGAGATTAACAAAGAAAACATTGAGTGTTGTTGTTGGCAGATGATGGAGTTGACTCACGGTTAGTGACAGCAGCGCTGGATCTCCTCGTCCTGCGGCTCTCGGGTGTCGCTCCCTCCGGAGGAGAACTGACGGACACCGACATACCCTCACACCGTCTAAACTCGCTGCTGGACACTGTTTACGTGTGAATAACCGCGGAAAAGACGCAAAGGCGCTAAAACATTCAACTTTCTGCCGTTCTCCATGCTATAGCGCTCCAGACAACGAATAAAGTTTGGCTACTGTCTGCGCGCGAGCTGCTACTCCAAAACAGCAGCTAATAAACGTTCGTTGCCATGGACGCGTCGCGTCTCTACGTAACTCTCCACCACAGTTACAGAATCACACTGTTACACAGTTACAGAGACTCCTCTGACTAACATGAACACATTACTTTAATAATGGGATTTCTTTTATCGCTAGCATACGTGGTTTCCCGTAGTAAAACGAATCCTTTTTAAATATTCATAAGTTGTCTTATTAATAATTTAGCGGTTAAATGATGCTATGGCAGCCAAACAAGAGAGTTTAAGGTGTACAGCTTGGAGAGGGGGAAAAAAGTTTCTGGTTGCTTGTTATTGTTACTAAAACTAAAATGATTATCATCATCTTCGGTAATTAAAAAAAAGCTGAAATAAAATAAAACAATGAAAAACTGAAACGTTTGCCCTGGCAACTAGGGCAAAAAAAAAAATCTAACTTTAATTAATACGAAAACTGAAATTATAAAAATAAAAGCTACACTAATATCAGATAATAATAATATGAATAATATGAATAATAATAAAGTAGGCCTATATAAATTCGGGCTAGTTATCTGATAAGCAACTGGCCGATATTAAAAGTTAAAATTATTTTGTTCAAATAAATCAAAAATAAAACACAAATAAGTTGGGAGTATACTAAAATTACTAAAGCTAAAACTGAAATAAAAATAAAGCTATATAAAAATAGAAAACCCCAAAAACGAATAAAAATGACAACAGCACATAGCAAAATTACTTAAGACTTAAAAAACTTAAGTTAATATGAAAATTGAAAATATAAAAATAAAAGCTACACTAATATTATATATAACATTATGTAATAATAAAATAGTAATAAATACTATATAAATAATACAAAGTTTTCTTTCTTTCTTTACAAAACGTAATTAGAAAGCATATTTGTATTTATTATTAAAATGAACATTTAATGATTAGACATTTGAATAAAACATACTAAATACTATATCATCCAAATCTAAGGTACAAGGCTTTGTGCCCACATCTCCAAATTTGTATTCACAATGAGAATTCAAGATAAAACACATTCTTACCTTAAAAAAATGATTTCCAGCAACCGCTTATTTTCATATATACTGTATATCTGATTTATTCAATGTATATATTTTAATGATATGCACATTATCCCTGATAATCTAATACATGTATATGTTATTTAGATTTTTGTCCTCTACATGAAAATCTTGGAATACATGGAAGACTGGACATGGATTACTTAAACAACAGCTCCTATGTGTCACTTGACTGAATACAATATCCACTTGTATTTTTGTGTGATTACAAACGTCAGAGACAGATGACAGTGTTTTTGCAGAGCTTCATCTGGAGGTAGCTGGCTCTTCAGTGCTCTTCAGTCTCACTGGAGGATCTTGTGGTAGGGGTGCAGGTTGAGGGAAGACGTGAACGCGCGGATGTCTGTTATCCTGCTGGCTTTGGCGAGGACAGGCGAGGCAGGCAGGAAGATGAGCTCGGACACGTCTCCGTATGAGGAAGTCTTCCTTCCGGTATCCTGAGACTCTGGGGATGAACTGGACTGATCATCTCCATGGGTTTCCTTCTCTTTCTCTCCGAATCCAACCACCTGTTCGGATCATACAGTAGAGTGATTTGGTAGATGCTAACATGATTAACAGTTTAGTTAAATAGATTATTTAGTTTGTAATGACCATTTTCTGGCCTCTCAATGATGCTTTAAAAAGAGAATAGATTCAGCAAATAAGTAACATACATGTATACTTAGTTTTCTACTGCTGGCGTGTCTGTGCTCCATGAAAAAAGATACCAGTTCATCTTTGGTGACATTCTTCAGGACTTCAATCTGTTGGGTAAAGCAACACATAAAACACATTAAAAAAATATAAAATAATGCAGAATAAAGTATAAGAATAGAAATGCACCGATGTTACAATTCTGGCCGATATAGATAATGTTATAGATGACTAACAATAAATGGCCAGCATTACAATTCTATATTAATTTGTTTAAATAAATTAAAAAAAAAAAATAATACAAATATTAGCTATTTTATATACTACAAAAATTAAGAAAGGACGGAAGGAAGGAATAGATAGATAAACATATGTGAAGAAAAAGGTTGGTGAAGTGGCATAAATAAATACTTGAATATATTAATAAATACATAAATTAACTAACACATGAATGAATGAATGGTGATGTGGCATAATATAAAAATTAAATAAAATAAATATTAAGTCTAACAAAAATGTTTGTAATGTTGCATAAATATACTGCAATAAATAAATAAAAATTAAATATTAACTAATAAATAAGACTGGGTACATGGCATAACTAAGTAACTAACAAATTAATTAATTAAATGCTAAAACAAAAACATTGGTAATGTGGCATACATATAGAAATAAAATAAAATATATATTAATTCTAACAAAAAATGAGTAAAGTGGCATAAATATATAAAATAAAATATTAACACTAATAAATAAGGTTGGGTACATGGCATAACTAACTAACTAATTAATTAACTAAATGCTAAAACACAAACATTGGTAATGTGGCATATATATTGAAATAAAATAAAATATATATTAATTCTAACAAAAATGACCAATGTGGCATAAATATATAAAATAAAATAAAATATTAACACTAATAAATAAGGTTGGGTACATGGCATAAATATGTAAATAAATGAATATATACATACATAACAATAAAAAAATGCTGGTGATGTGGCATAAATATAGAAATAACATAAAAACTAAATCTATCAAACAAAAAGGTTGGTGTTGTGCCATAAATACATATAAAAATTAAGCCTAACAAAAAAGGTTGGGTATATAGCATAAACAAACAAACAAACAAATTCTTACAAAAATGGTTGGTAATAATGTGGCATAAATAAATAAATATTAAGACTAACAAAAAATGGTTGGTGGCACAAATAATAAGTAAATCAGTATTAATTCTAACAAAAAAAGTTGGTGATGTGGAATAAATAAAACTTATAAATTACAATTTTATACTTTTTGTCCATATAAAGTAAAAATAAAACAAAAAACTAAAATCAGTCATTTAAGGCATGACAGTATAATGTACAGTATGAAAAATGTATATACATTTTGATACTTGCTAGACTACATTTAAAAGTGTTAATAAATAAAGCATGAGTAATAATAAAGAAGTGGAATATATGGACTGATTTCTCACTTCTTTATTGAGCCTGTCAAAGACATACTGCTGCGTGACCACTTCAAACCAGTTCCTGTCCACTTCTTCCCCGAGCTGCGTGTCTTCACACTCCTTCAACTTGATCAGCGCTGTCACTTGAGTTTGAAAAGCCTCATCTGACAAGTTAACCATCTTCTCCCCAAAGCTGACTAGAAAAGCTTCGATTTTTCCTTCCACAAAGTCAGTGCTATGAGAGTAAATCGCAAAAAGAAAACGTTATTGATATTTACAAAGAAAACAGACTAGATAAACGTCTAGTTTTGACCATAAATCTTGCCTGAACTTGGTGGCCTGAGTCTCAACAGTAACTGAGAAGCCAAGGACACCGGAGGTGTTTCTGCAGGATGGGTACACTTGATACCTGAAGAAAGAGTCAACAAGATCTGTGTTGTAGCAGAAATATTTAGACATAGAAAGACAATCTGAAAGACGACGCTTCATAACTGACCCTAAAGTTTCCTTTGTCCTCAGGAAATCAAAGCAGGGTTCTTCCATGTGCATCTGATGAACACAAAAAACAAGATTTGAAAGGGTTAGTTCACCCAAAAATGAAAATTAGTCCATGTTTTACTCACCCTCAAGGCATCCTAGGTGTATATGACTTTCCTCTTTCAGACGAATACAATCAGAGTTATATAAAAAATTGTCCTGGCTCTTCCAAGCGTTAGAATGGTGTTTTTGTTCAACAGTCCAAAAGTAGTCAAATAAAGCGCGTGCATCCATGATAAAACGCGCCTCACACGGCTCTGGGGGGTGAATAAAGGCCTCCTGTAGCGAATCAATGCGTTTTTGTAAGAAAAATATCCAGATTTAAAACGATATAAACAGTTTTGTGTAACTTCCGCTTACTGTCGTACGCGCGTTCACGAGAGATTGCCGTTCCGATGACGTAGGCGCAGTGCATGCGCATGTGAGTCTCGCGAAAACCAACGTTTGTTTACAGGATCAAAGGAAGCCTCTTGGCTTACATCGAAATCCTCCAACATTTTCCTTTACAAATCCTCGTTTTGTGCTTCTAATTCGTGACCAGCATTGTGTTGTGTTCTCTTTTCGTCACGCTTCTGTGTTCGTCACGAATCACCGGCGTGTGTGCAACGCATACGTCTTACGTAATCCGCTGGAATCTGCTTTATTTGACTACTTTTGGACTGTTGAACAAAAACACCCGCCTGCTGCCATTCTAACGCTTGGAAGAGCCAGGACAATTTTTAAAGGGGTGGTTGATTGCGATTTCATTTTTTTAACGTTAGTTAGAGTGTAATGTTGCTGTTTGGGCATAAACAATAACTGCAAAGTTAAGACGCTGAAAGTTCAATGCAAACGGAGATATCGTCTTTTAAAATTATGCCAGTTTAATGCCTACAAAAATGGCTGGTAGGGACTACAACGAGTTACTTCCTGGGTTCGTGACATCACAAACCCAGATAAACCCCGCCCTCGGGAACATGCAGCAAAGGGGGCGAGGCCATGCTGTGCTGCGCTGCTTTAGAGAAGAGGAAGAGAAAACTAGGGGTGCACGAAAAAATCTATTCATATATGAATCGCAATTCTGTCTTCTAACGATTCTAATGGATTCACAAGTTTCAAAATCAATGTTCAAAAGCAGCGG